CGCGTCTGCTCGGCGCCGGCCTCCCGGGCCCGCCCTCGGGCACCGAAGCCCCTGGGGGTCGGGGCCTCGGGGCCGCACGCTGAGCGGGCCTCGGGGCCGCAAACTTGGCTCGTCGGCGGCCAGGCTCAAGTCGGGCCTGTCCCTCCACAGGGGGAATATGCAAGAAATAGCCAGGGGTACTAACTTTTCTGAGTATTGTTTTGACAAGTTAGGAGTATTTGTTGAGTTTGTTCTTCGTCGAAGATCCCCCTGTAGGGGAACACGCCCGACTGAAGGCTAGGCAGGGGTCGTCTGCGCTGGCGGAAGCTCGCTCGACCGGGGCACCGTTGTGGCGAACTGACCATCATGCACGGGCGGCGAGGAGGGACGGAGCGGGCGGCCGCGGGGAGGGGGAAACTGCGAGGGCCGCTCAGCGGGGACGGGTCACTCCCTGAGTGAGCTGGCGCGGCCGCCCCGCTCTGGAGAAACACGTCCTCGGATAGTGATCCGCGGGGCCACCGCCTCGGAGCCTGCATGAGGGGGCCGCCTCCGTCCGTGTTGTCTGAGGTTCTCTCTGGTTCTTGAACGCGTGCTGCCCTTGCTTGGCCTGCGGAGGCCTCCGGAGAGCCCTGGCGACCTCGAGACCCCGGAGGTACCGTGGGGACGCGCACCAAGAAACGGGATGCATTTCGTCAGGGTGCCCTGGGTTTCTTCGTTTCTTGCGGCGCGCAGTGAGTTCCCCCGATCGTTAAGAAATTGCGCCCAGGGCATCCTTGGATCAGGGCCGAGTTTCCTGCAAGGTTTTCTTGCGGCCGCGTCCCCACTATATCCAGGGACCTCGTGGAGACTTCGAGGACCTCCAGGGATTCACAGAGTCGGGATGATCCCGAGGCAGGGTGAGGGAGCGAATCCAGCTTGAGCTGATATTTCCACTCTCCAGGGGCCATCCAGAGCGATCTCCCTCGAACATCACCTCTTGCCCTACTTCCACCCTTACGGTCCACCTCGGCCCTGGAGAGCCCCGAGCTCTCTGGCGTCGTTGTTTTGGTCAGGTCCAAGCGGCCGGCCTCCGGGACCCCGTTCCCAGCCCCCTGGGGCAATCAGGAACGGATCCGGAACGAACGATTAATCACCCCCACGGAAAAGGGGCCAAGACCTCTGGGGCCCGCGGATTGAGAAAAGCACATCGTCGGGGATCGAGGAGGGACGAGGACGATTGCAGTGTTGTGTTGTATTGCAGTGTTGGTGATCAGGTTGATCTGCTTAGTCTGGTCTGGGCCTGTCTGCATGTTCGCGGACACATCCCACGAGCCAGTAAGAATTGCCGTCGAAAGAGTAACATAAAGCACGGAAACCTACAAACGGGTCCCGAAGGACCCCCGGTATGATATTGTTGGGGTCTGTTTACAGGGCCCTCTCGGGGATCTTTCGGACCCTCTTGTTGCGCCTTGGGCTTCTCTTATGACCTCCTTGGGCCGAGACTGCAGAGGGCTCCAAGAGATTTCCAAGAGGTCCTCAAGAGGGTCCCGAGAGGGCTCCAAGAGAGTTCCAACAAGGCCCCTAAGTGGCCTCTTGGGCTCTTTCGCACCCTTGTCATCGTAGTTGGGGCTGGGACCGAAAGCACTGCTGCGTCAAGTCTGGCTGTGGCGGACAGGGAGGTGATGGGGGGAGGGAACATCAGCAGCAATGTCAGTCCTTGTGCCTCAAAGCATTGTAAGGCGCTGGGGCATAAGAACGATTCGCCTCGAGCGGTTTAGAATAGAGCGGCACCCTCACGTTCTCAGTGATTGAGCACTCCAGCCTAGCGTGTCGCCGTGGCCGCCGCCACGACACGCTAAGCAGAAGTCCCCAGACGTAGAAGGGGACCAATACTGATATGTTTGTATCCTCTTGCGCGTGACAGTCTTTACCTGACCCCCCCCCAGGTAAGAGTAACAATCGCACGTCGTACGTAGGGGAGGCATGGTGCTCGCGCGCGGACTATGGTATTATGGTAATCGCTGCGCACCCCCGCCCGACGCGCCCCACCCCGCCCAAGCGTTACTCATACCTGGGACCCCACCCACCCCCTCCAGGTAACGACCTTGATAAAGAACAACGAATTCTCGACTCACGTTTTGGCCATATTGTAAGTGTGTGTACGCACTGATCGGCCTGCGCTGGGCCAGACCAAGCTGGCCGCTACACGCCGCGACCCGCCCACGGCCGCGCGCGGAAGGAAGGGCGGCTGCGAAGGGAGGAGGAGGACGGGAGGAGGACGGCGCCAGCGCCACGACGCCACGACGGCCGCCCCCCGTCCCCCGTACTGGGCCCCTCTGCCCCCCGCCCGGGCCGCCCGCGCTGTTGCGCTGCTTGCGTTTTTGTTTTCTCACCCTGCACCGCGGCCTGGGTCAGGGGCAGGTGCCCGCAGGCCTTTGGGGTGTACAAAGCTATCCCGAGAGCACTGCGCCCATCCTAAAAAGGGGGGTGCCGGGGGCGCGGTTGCAGCAGGAGGAGGACGGGAGGAGGAGGAGGGAGGGAGGGAGGAGGGAGGAGGAGGAGGAGGAGGAGGAGGAGGGGAGGAGGGAGGAGGAGGAGGAGGGAGAGGGAGGAGGAGGAGGAGAGAAGGAGGAGGAACAGGAGGGAGAGAGGAGAGGAGGAGGAGGAGGAGGAGGAGGAGGAGGAATGGAGGAGGAAGGAATGAAGGAAGGAAGGAAAGAAGGAGGCAGGGAAGACCAAGGAGGGAAGGAGGGAAATAGAGGAAACACGGAAGGTGGGAGGAGGGAGGAGGAAACAGGAAGGAGGGAAGGACGGAGGATGAGGAGGAGGGAGGAAGGAGGAGAAACAGGAGGAGGAGGTGGTGGTGGTGGTGGTGGTGGCATAGGAAGGAGGGTGGAGGGAAGAGGATATGGACAAGGAGGAGGGGCTCCGGCTGCCGGCCCTGGCGCCCCCAGAGGAGGCGGCCGTTGCCCTGGGAGGCGCCGACGACTTGGAGGTGGCGAAGGCCCCCAGCGAAATCACATCCTCCACCTGCGTCCTCCTCGTCATATGTCCTCCTCCTCCTCCTCCGCCTCCTCCTCCTCCTCCGTCTTCCTCATGCTTCTCCTCCTCCTTTTTTGTCCTCCTCTATGTTTCCAGGTGTTGTCATGTGTATATATACATATGTATACACACCGATGTATGTATATAGCTATATATATATATATATATATATGTAGAACTCCTACGTGTCGCACCCTCAGACGTGTCGGTTGGGCAGGTCGGGCGTTTCATTTGAGACTTCCTCACCACGCATGACCTTGAAGCTCGCAACTTGGAACAGCTTCAAAGATGAAGGGCGGTTCGTTTTAAAAATGGAGCCCTTGCGTTTGAAAAACTTGCAGCACTTATAAGGATGTATGGCGGCTCGCTGTCCAAAATCAGTTCTCGCCCCAGCGCAGCGCACATTCGACCTAACATGTTGCAGCAGCTACAAGGATAGATGGCGGCTCGCTGTCCAAAATTAGTTGTCGCTTTTGCGCCGCACACCTTCGTTACAATAGTTTGCAGCAGTTTCAAGATGGAGAGCGGTTCCGTTTCAAAAGGTGGCTCTAGCCCTAGCGCCGCGCACCTTAGTTTAACAAGTTGCATCAGCTTCAAACATTCGTATGGTGCTGTCTGGCACGGTTCAGGACTGCCAGGACGCAACAGCCACCGTGCGACACGTACCCCGCGCGACGCGCTCGATCCTTACGCTCATTCGCGGTGTTAAAGCACCAGGAATGGTGGCCCTGCGCGATGTATGGTTGCCTGGATGCTATCGTCACGTTGAGCCGCGGCGTTGAAGTTAACGGAATGTTGCTCTGGCATGGTTTAGGAGTGCCAGGACGCACCAGTCACGTCGATTCGCGGCATTGAAGTCCTAGGAACGGTATTTTGGCACCTTTTGGGGACTTTCAGACGTTTGTCTTCTCATAGGCAAATTCCCGCATTGAACATGTTGGGGAGGCCTGACGGTTGGTGCCGCCGACCCTGAAGGGGGACGACGACGACGACGGCGACGGCGACGACGACGACGACGACGACAGCGGCGGCGGCGGCGGCGGCGACGCTGACGCTTTGGAGCCCTTCTTGGGGTTCTTTCGAGAACCTATCGATCTCTGTTTGGGGGCCCCTTTGAGGACTTTGGGGGGGATCCGTGGCCGTTTGGAGCCGCTCAGGAGCAGATATGAGGCCTCCTTGCGGCATGTCGTGAAACACGCAGCACCCCGCAACAGCAGATAAGAGTTAAAAGGATGCCCCTGGGGAGGGGAGTCCTGGAGGAGGGGGGGATGATGGTCCCCGTGTCCACAGGGAGGAGGCGAAAGGAGGGGTCTTGCGTTGCACCTGCTCACAGGGGGGCCACCCCCATGTCCCCTTTGTCCACGGGGGGGACCCCCCGAATGGGAGGCTACGACACCCGGGACCCCCCCCCCAGGATCCCCCGCCCGTGGACCCCCCCCGCCGGGGAAAGGATCACAGGGAAGGGCCTTCCCTTCGAATCAACTACGACGTTGTTTGATTTTCGTCTGGCTGTATCGTTTGAAGAGGAAGGCTCAGGGAAAGGGGGGGAGCGGCGACGGCGACGACGCCAAAGGAAAAACATCCACACACGCCGACACACGCTGACAGGGTCGGCGGATTTTTGGTAGGGGCTTATGAAGAGGGAACTCGGAGGGAGAGTTTATTCCAACATCGTTGATGCTTCCTCCTTCTCCCCCTCCTCCTCCTCCTCCTTCTCCTCCTCCATTCCTTTTCCTTACAGATAACTCTCCCCTCTCGCACCCAGAGGCCGGTCGAAAGGGCGGGCCGGGCGTTTCGCTTGAGACTCCCCTACAATGTATGATCTTGATGCTTGGATTCTACAACAGCTTCACGGATGGAGGGTGGCCCGCTTTCCAAATGTGGTTCTCGCCCTAACGCCGCGCACATTCGTCTTCGAAATTTACAAGAGCTTCACGGATGGAGCGCGGTCCAATTTCAACATGTGGTTCTCGCCTTAGCACCGAGCACATTCATTTTGAAAGTTTGCAAGAGCTTCACGGATGGAGGGCGGTTAATGTGTTAAATCGTGGTTATCGTTTTAGCGCCGCGCACATTCGTTATGAACGTTTGCAAGAGCTTCACGGATGGACGGAGGTTCCTTTTCATCATGAGGTTAGCACCTTAGCACCTGGCACATTCGCCTTGTGAGTCTGCAGCATGTTGAAGGATGTTTTTGGTTAAGGCACCGACATATTGTTTTGTCGCGGTGTCGGAATGTCAGGGCGCAACGGTCACGTTGATTCGCGGTGTTGAATTCCCACGAGTGGCGTTATCGTCAAGACGACGCAACAGTAACCGTGATTCATTGGCTGACGCCGCACCGCCAACCCCTCGGGGCGGCAGTAAGAGTGAAAAATTGAGTTTGCGGAGCAATTTCTGGGGAATCTTGGACTTTCAGCTTCTCGGGATTTCGTCGGAGGCGGTTGGCGGATCGCCGCTCTGCTCTTGGGCTTCTCTGGGCTCTCTTGGCAGCACTTTTGAGGCCTCTTGGGCGCCGTTTTGAGGCCTCCAGGAGCCTCTTTTGGGCTTCTCGGGGGCCAGCCTCTTGGGGGCCGATTGGCGCCTCCTCAGGTTTTTTCGGGGCCGAGCGGTCAAATTGTTCACTCGGGTTCCCCTCTGAGCCTCCTCTTGGGGCCGTCCTGAGGCCCTCCTGGATCGTTTTGGAAGCTTCTGGGGCTGTCTTGGGGCCCTCCGGGGCCGTCTTGGAGCCCTCTTGGAGGCCTCTTGGGCTATCTTGGATCGATCTTAAAGGCTTGTTGGGCCGTTGTGGGTTTCGTGAAAGCCCAATAGGCGGATGTGCTAAAAATATACGTTTTCCGAAGGGAACGGGACGATTTTTGCTTCTGGAGGGCCTCTTGGGACGCCTCTTGGTGGCTTCTTGGGGCGTCTTGGGGGCCTCTGGGACCGTCTGGAGGCGATCTTGGGCGTCTTGGAGCGACCTTTCGGCGACTCGTAGCTCTCTTGGAGCGTCCGGGGGGCCTTTTGGGGCCCTCTTGGCCCGTTTTGGGGCCCCCTGAGGTTCCAAGGGTGCGGCCGACACTTTTGCCCACCCTACCCCCCCACCCCACCCCCTGCACACCGGCCGGACCAGGCTCCCAGGGGAGGGGTTCAGGGAGGGGGAAGCATTTTACACGCCGTGACCCCAAGGGGTCGGCGGATTCGCGGCGCTGATGTCCCAGGAAAGGTGGTTTGGCACATTCTGGATGTTCAAACTGTTGTCTTCCAACATGGAATGCCCTCCAGTGAAGCTGAATCCGTGAAGGAGTCTACGAAGGCGGAACTTGCAGGGAGGGTTCATTGCAATATCATCGATGAGTCTTGTGTCTACACTGGTCCTCTTTCTCTTCCTCTTCCTTCCTGCTCCTGCGTCTTCTCCTCCTCCGCCCTCTTCTTCATCCCTCCCTCTCCTCCTCCGTCTTCCTCATCTCCTCCTCCCCCCTCCTCCACTTCCTCTTCCATCTCCAGCTCCTCCTCGTCCTCTTCCTCATCCTCATCCTCCTCCTCATCCTCCTGCTCCTCTTGTTCCTCTTTCTCTTCCTCCTCATCCTCTTCCTCATCCTCCTCCTCCTCCTCCTGTTGCTACCCCTCCTCTTCCTCCTCTACCTCCTCCTCCCCCTCCTCCTCCTCGTCATTCTCCTCCTCTTCCTCCGCCTCCTCCTCCTTCTCCTCCTCTTCCTCCCCTTCCTCCTCCCTCCTCCTCCTCCTCCTCCTCCTCATCCTCCTCCTCCTCTTCCTCCTCCGGCCGCGCGCGGGTCTGTGCCGTGGGCCGTCGGTGGTTGGGAGCCGTCAGACTCCGCAAGGGGTGGCTGGCTGTCCGAGACAGCTGCCATTCCCACGGAGGAGCGGTCTGCTGGCCGAGGCTCATAGACCCCGCTACACGGGAGCACGGCGAGCAACCTTCTCCGCCTCCGTCCCTCTTCCTTATATATGCTTCCTCCCTGCCGCACCCCCTGACGTGTCGGTAGGTCGGGCCGATCGTTTCGCTTGAGATTTCCTCACCATGTGTGATTATGAAGCTCGACATGTGCAACAGTCTCGCATATTGAGGTCGGGCAGTTTCAAAAGTTAGCTCTCTCGTTAAAGCTCCGCGCACTTTCATCTTGCAACCTTGCAACAGGTTCAAGGACCGAGGGCGGCTCGTTTCAAAAGTCAGCTCCCGCCCTGGCGCCGCGTGCCTTCGTCTCAAAAGTTCGCGAATGTTTCAGGATGGAGGGCGCTTCTTTTTCAGAATGTAGCTCTCGCTGTGGCGCCGCGCGAGTTGCTCTCAGACGTTTGCGACCAATTACGTCCAGGGTTAACCTAGTTGAAATCCGAGGTATGGTGTCCTGTCGCGATTGAGCATTGCCAGGACGCCACAGTCAAGTTGATTCGCGGTGTTGAAGTCTCACGAAGAGCGTTTTGGAACGATTTAGAATTGCTTGTGCACCATAGTCACGTTCATCCGCGGCGTTGATGTCCCAGGTAATAATTGTGTTCTGGCATGGTTGAGGATTTTCGGACGGGTAACATCTAGTTGGCCACTTCCCGCAATGAAGGTGTATTCTTATAGGGATTTGCAAACAGAGGAATTTGGATGGAGGAGGGTTTACAGCAACATCGTTGATGCGTCTTGGCGTTACACTGGTCCTTCTCCTCCTCCCTCCCTCCCCCATTGCTCCTCATCGTCCTCTTTGGAAGTCGAGGACGGGAAGGATCGAAAAAAACGTAGCACCCCGCAGTTGCGGAGATGGGTGAGGGCGGTGGCGGGGACGTCGGCGGTCTGCGAGGCTTTGAAGAAGCCCGCCGCAGGCGCCTCATTTTGACAGACTATACAGCGAGCCCGCTGCAGGGTGGGTGGGTCGCGGGTGGGTCGCGGAGTGGGTCGCAGGTGGGTCGCGGGTGGGACGACGACAAACAACCAACAGCAATCAGCAAACAACAGCAACAATAATCCGCACCGCGGAACCTCATTGCAGCCACGTTCCCAGGGACAGTGAATGACCGTTCGGCCCCCTCACTCTGAGAATCAACTGCCCAAGCGTAAAGTCGCGCAGGTCCGCGCGGATTTCTAGCACCTCCGCTGGCTCCCTTGCCAGGGAGGGGGCTCCAGCGCCGATCCAAGAAATCCGCGCGGACCTCCGAAAGTTTGCTTCTGTGCAGCTCTTGTTGACCGAGCAGGGAGGGTCGAGGACGTCATGGACGCTCTGTGGCCGTCCTTATGGAGGTCGCCGGGGACCTCCCAGGGCGATCCAGGGAGCGGCCCCCGCAGCGGTGACCTCCCTCGGCAGCGTCCTGGGGCGGGGGGAGGGCGGGCGGTGCCGGAACGCGGGCGTGGCCCGGGGGGCGCGGCGCGGGGAGAGCAGAGAGGGGGGAGGGGGAGGGCGCGCGCAGGAGGAGCGGGTACGAAGGAGGCGCAGGGGAGCAGGAGGGGAGGCGCGCGAGAAGGAGGGGCGGCGCAGGGAGCAGCAGGAGGAGGTGCAGGGAGCAGGAGGGGGCGAGCGGGAGAGGGGAGGCGCATGGAGCAGGAGGCGGCCGAGGAGCGCAGGGGAGATGCGCGCAGGGGAGGGGGAGGCGAACGAGACGAGGCGCAGAGGAGCAGTTTGGAGGCGCAGGGAGCAAGCGAAGCGCAGGGAGCACGTGGAGGAGGCCGAAAGTCCGAAGTAAGGCCGAGAGGGAGGCTTGTCAAGGGCCCATTCGGAATTCCCCCTCCCTGGCGTGAGGCTCCTCTTCACTTAGTGAACTGACATTCTACTTCCCATTCCCTGGGTCCTCCTCTATTGATCCATCGGCTTCTGAGCCTTCGATCACCCTCCTTCTGGGCGCCCGACGCTCGACGCGGGGGCGAGCAAGGAGGAGGGAGGAACGCTCGCGCGCACCTTGGGCTCGGTCGCGCGGCCGCCGTCGGGCTCAGAGCGTGTGCTCGGGGGCTGGCAGACCTTGGCGCTCGCAGGAGGTGGAGGTGGAGCTGACAAGGCTCCAGGTTGCACACAGACAGCTCCCCCCCGGCAGCCCCGGGTGGCCTCAACAGGCCCCCCCGGGTACCCCAGGGCGGTCTCAACACCGCAACCCAAGGGCGAGGAGCTGAGACCGCCCCGGGCGCATCGAGGCGGGCCAGTTGAGGCCAGGCGGGACTGCCTGGGGGGGCTGTCTGCGCGCAACCCGAAGCCTTACCATCCTGACATCCGACGTCGAGAAACAAATATACATCGCGGACAAACCACCAGAGCATTAGGCCCCAGCTTCTGCTGCATTTTCGAGCCGGATCGATACGTGAGAGTCCCAGGATCCGAAACAGGGCGAACAAGCCTGGTGTGGCAAAAATTGTGTCACCTGGATGTCAGGGCGGGCGGAGCGGGCGGAGCAGAAGCAGCTCGGGGTATCGTCGTCCTCCTCCTTCTCCCCTCCCCCCGTACCCCTCCTATCTCCTCCTTCTCCTCGTCCTCCTCCTCCTCCTCCTCCTCCTCCTCCTCCTCATCCTCCTCCACCTCCCCAGGAGCAGGACGATGAGGGAGCGAGGGGGACGGAAGAGGAGGAATGGATGGGGGGAGGCGGATGAGGCTGGAGCGAGGGAGGTTGGAGGATGCGGGAGAATTAAGCAGCGCAGGCGACAAATCCAGAACTTCCTCCCCCCAGAAGTTCAAAAACTCGCAGCCCGCCGCAAGGTGCTGTCCAACCGCGCCGCATGCCTGCACCGCCTCGGGGACTTCCGCGGGGCCGCGGCCGACGCCCGGAGGGCCGCCGGGCTGGCGCCCAGGCGGTGTGCGGCGCCAGCTGGCCCACTCGAGGATAAGGAGGAGGAGGAGGAGGAAGAGGAGGAGGAGGAGGAGGAGGGCTGCGCCTCGTACAGGCACCAGAGCACGCAGCGATCAACGATCAGGAGGAGGAGGAGGAGGAGGAGGAGGAGGAGGAGGAGGAGGGTTCGAGGCCCGCGGAGTAGGACGAGGAGGAGGAGGAGGAGGAGGAGGAGGAGGAGGAGGAGGAGGAGGGGTCGAGGATCGGG